CTCTCTCTCTCTCTCTCCCTCTCTCTCTCTCTCTCTCTCTCTCTCTCTCTCTCTCTCTCTCTCTCTCTCTCTCTCTCTCTCTCTCTCTCTCTCTCTCTCTCTCTCTCTCTCTCGCTCTCTCTCTCTCGCTCTCTCTCTCTATGCGTACCCTGCTCACCCGCGCCTCTTCTCTACCTGCAGGGGCAACAGCCGCAGTCCTACGATGCAGGGTAGCCCTACGCTGTACGGAGAGACGCTGAACCAGAGCCTGCAGCAGGCGCTAGCCGAGAGCAACCTGCCCCTCCTGAACAGCGCGGCCACCCCCGCAGAGATGCACCTCGCAATGGACCGGTCCAGCAACGACTCGATGCCCGAGGACTTGTGAGTGAACGCGCGCGGGGGTGGGGGAGGGGGAGGCGCGGGGAGTGGATGTGTGGGGAATGCTACGATTTATGTCAGGGGGTTGCGTGTCGTTTTAGGGGTGTCTCATGTCGTGTTGGGGGTGTTTCGTGTCGTGTTGGGGGTGTTTCATGTCGTGCTGGGGGGTTGCGTGTCGTGTTGGGGGTGTTTCATGTCGTGTTGGGGGTGTTTCGTGTCGTGTTGGAGGTGTTTTCGTGTCGTGTTGTTGTGTTTCGTGTCGTGTTGGGGGTGTTTTGTGTCGTGTTGGGGTGTTTTGTGTCATATTGGGGTGTTTTGCGTCGTGTTTGGGGTGTTTCGTGTTGTGCTGGGGTGTTTCGTGTCGTGTTGGGGTGTTTTGTGTCGTGTTGGGGGTGTTTCGTGTCGTGTTGGGGTGTTTCGTGTCATGTTGGGGTGTTTCGTGTCATGTTGCGGTGTTACGTGTCGTGTTGGGGGTGTTTTGTGTTGTGTTAGGGGTGTTTCATGTCATGTAACCTTTCTTCTACCCTACCTCCCTCCTATCCTCCTTCCCGCTCACCTGACTTCCTTCTATCTCTCCTCCTCACCTGGCTTCCTTCTCTCATGACTTCTCTCTTTCTCCTCCCCCCTGCAGGAGCACTGGATCCTCGGACATGCACATCAAGCAGGAGCGCGACCACGCCGAGAGGCTGCGTCGCCACGGTTACGACGCCGACAGCCACGCCTACTACGGAGCGAATGGAGGCGAGGAGACTAACGACGATGACGACGACGCGCCCGTCTCGTTAGTGCAGCGCATGGAGCCGCCGCGCCCGCGCTCGCAGTCTCCCGTCGTCGAGGAGCCAGCGGGTAACGAGCGCACAGCATCCTCATCCTCTGTTGCCATGGTGCAGCATCCTCATCTGCAGAATAGCATCCTCCTGTTGCCACGGTGCAGCATCCTCATCTGCAGAATAGCATCCTCCTGTTGCCATGGTGCAGCATCCTCATCACAGCATCCTCATCCTCCGTAGTGAAGCATCCTACGTTGTCATGGCACAGAATCCTCATCTGCAGAATAGCATCCTCCTGTTGCCACTGCCGATATATATATATATATATATGTATATAATATACGATATATATATGTGTATAAAATATTATTTAATATAATAATCTAACACATATATATAAGATATATATAAGATATATCCTAATGCCATATAATATAATATCTAACGCATATATATATGATATATCTATATATCTATACAGAAAAAACGTAGTAACGTGCAACATATCTAACATCTTCTGTCGTTCCTGTCGTCTTGCAGGAGAGTACCCTCAGCACCCGGACTACCAGCGCATCGTGGGGGAATACGTACACCCCACCGAGTACCCCATAGACGACCACGTAGAGGACGAAGAAGAAGAGGAGGAGGAGGAGGAGGAGGAGGAAGAGGAGGAAAGATCCCTGGGAGAGAGGCCAGGACCGGGGGCGGGCATCCTGGAGGAGGCGGCGCTCGGCGAAGCGTCGTAGTCGCCGGAAAGCTGCGTCGCCGCGGCGACAACGACGAGCGCGAGAGGAGATGTGCGCGCGTGCGAAGACGACCCCCGTGAACTTTGAACTTTGAACTTTGAATGAACCCAGTGACCATTTTGTTCGGGATGTTGTGTCGGATGCGATCCACACCTTTGTTTTCGTTTTGCGCGAGCTTCGTAAGGAAGGAGGAGAACCGTAAGGGATGCGATAAGGAGCTCTGTAAGAGAAGAGGAGCACCGTAAGGGATGCAGCAAGGAGCTCCGTAAGGGATGTGATGATGAGCTCCGTAAGGGATGCAGTAAGGAGCTCCGTAAGGGATGCAGAGAAGAACACCATAAGGGATGCAGTCAGGAGCACCGTAACGGATGCAGAGCTCTGTAAGGAACTGATGAGCTCCGTAAGGGGCAGTAGGGAGCACCATATAAGGACAGTTAATGCTCCATTATTGGACAATGCATGACAACGGTTAGAGAGCGGCAAGAGCTCCCTAAGGGAGAGGTGTCGGCCGCAGAAAAGGGGGACGAAAGGAGCTCGGTTAGCGGTGATGCGACATATATGTGCGACTCCGTTTTTGAATTTGGAATTTCCGTAAAGAAGTGCCGGCAAAATATGATGCGAGCTCCGTAAGGGGGCAACGGAGCTGAGTAAGAAGAAAATAGGAGCTCTGTAAGTGGGCAGCGGGAGCTGAGTAGGCAGCCATTAGGAGCTCCGTAAGGGGGCAACAGGAGCTACGTAAGCAGCCATTACGGGCTCCGTAAGGGGGCAACGGGAGCTACGTAAGCAGCCATTACGGGCTCCGTAAGGGGGCAACGGGAGCTACGTAAGCAGCCATTAGGAGCTCCGTAAGGGGGCAACGGGAGCTACGTAAGCAGCCATTAGGAGCTCCGTAAGGGGGCAGCGGGAGCTACGCAAGGGAGGCGGACGTGGCGAGGCGGAGCGATGCACGTCCGTAGCCCAGCGCGCGTGTGCTTCCCCCGCTTCCCGAGACTCCCCGCCCTCCCTCCCCCACTCGCGTCTCGCTTGTAAACCTTCAAAGGTCAGAATCTTCCCTCGCGGACTGTGATAGGTGATCACTAGAGCGGCGGCGACCGTCGTGGCGTGCGTACGGCTCCGCACTGAAACCCAACCCTGTGTGTAGAAAGAGGGTATCCCTCGATCATCGTGTCGTAGGTCTAGTTAGAATTGTTCGTTCATCTTGTGTCTCTCTCGCATCTGCCATCATGTGTGGGAGGCCATGTGCATATATATATATATATATATATATATGTATGATGATGATGATGATGATGATGTTGATGATAATGATGATGATGGTGATGCTGTTATATATGTGACATGTGCGTGCGTGTGCGCGGCGCGCATGCGTGAGTTTTGTGAAGTTGTGTGCGCGCATATGTGTGCGTGAGTGCATCCTGGTGTGCGTGCGTGCGTGCGTGTGTGCGTGCGTGCGTGTGTGCGTGTGCATGTCTTATGTGCGTGTGGATATGTATGCATAAGGGCCTGTGTGTGTGTAAATCTGTGCGGGTGCGTGCGCGTGCGTGCGTGCGTGTGTGTGTGCCTGGAATCGAGAAATCTCCAGCTCGCATCTTTCTCGGCTGGACACCCATGTTGCTGGAGTCTGCACGCTATATACCTGCATGCATGTACGTTCAGCCTGAACCCCAGCGATGCGTACCTCTCTGTAGACGACGACAGACACACCGCCTCCTCCTCCTCCTCCTCCTCCTCCACTCCACTCCTCCTCCACTCCTCCTCCTCCTCCTCTACTCCTCCTCCTCCACCCCTCCTTTACTCTTCCTCCTCCTCCACTCCTCCTCCTCCTCCTCCACTCCTCCTCCTCCACTCCTTCATTCCTCCTCCTCCACTCCTCCTCCACTCCTCCTCCTCCTTCTCCTCCTCCTGTAGACAGACACTCCTCCTGTCCCTAGTCCTCCTCCCTCTGCACGGCCACCGGCACCTCCTCTCTCCTCCTCATCCCCTTGCGCGACCACACCTCCTCCTTCTCTTTCCTCCCTCTTCTCATTGTGGCATTGCTGGCAGATGGTATCAATCAAAATGAACATAAGCAGTGATTGTTCCATAGCATGACCATAGCGAGAGACAGAGGAGAGAGAAAAGAGAAAGAGGGGGAGAACGAGAGAGAGAGAGAGAGAGAGAGAGTGAGATAGAGAGAGAGAGAAGAGAGAGAGAGAGAGA